GGAAAATACCACAAATAGACAAAAAATGGGGGTGAATTTCTAAATTTAGTCATAAAAACAAGATTTTTCCAGCTATAGACATACATTCCGCGGAGGACCCTCCGCGGACCTCTGCGGAATGACGTCATCTCCGCGGACACCGAAAGTCTGATTTTTAACGTTTAAAAGAGTGTCCGCGTAGGCCCTCTGCGGATACAAAACACCTCCGCGGAGTGAGTTGTTTGGAGGTCATAAGTACCTCCGCGGAGATGGTGACGAGGATCTCGCGAAGAGAGTAATGTCTCCGCGGAATGGGTGGTTGGAACGGATTTTAGAGGTTTTTTGATACAAAGTGTTTTTTCATATTTTTAGCTCCATTTGGTCGATAGATCAGTTCTTTTCATTTGATTTTCAAAAAAAAAATATGAGTTTTGTTATTTTATGTACTGGGGGTTTTTGGCAGAAGTAAGGATTAACACCTACGTTAGACCAAAGTTTAACAACTTAGGTTACTGCTTCCGCCAAATTTTGATCGTCGAATATGTTTGATTTGGTCAAAAGTCAAAAGTAAGGCTAATGTGTTCAATAGTAAATATCATTGTCATTTCAACACCCGGTTCATGGGTATGTTATGAATATTTTAGACGAAGCAGATGTTCATCAACTCAGAAATGTAATTTCTGAAACGAAGGAGATTGTGCATTTGTATTTAGAGGTGTTTCAGGGATTGGTCGAACAGACAGAAGCGGTTCAGAAAGTTGTACCATACAATGTTGAAAACGTTGTATCTGATAATGTTGAAGAGTGTCCAGAAGAAGAAACTGTGGCAGTGAATACGGTTGAAGAAAAAAAATTTATATGAGTTTGAAGACTGACGGGAAAAAACTTTGTCAGACGGTGAAGAGTCAAATGAAGGATGGTCAGAAGATGAGTTCACACACGGGAAAAAAAGCTTCAGACATATTTTACGGTATGCCTCATAACCTGATTGTCCTGATCCTATGTTTGAACCCGGACCATTTCACAGTTTTAGGTCCAAATGATGATATGTTTGTTCGTCAAACATATGATAACAAACAAACAACTAATATTTGCTTTGAGTCTTAAAGCAACCAGAGAAAAGTTTCAGTTTAAGACCAAACATTCTAACAAAAATCGTTATGAGGTATATTTGAAATTGAGAACTGTTGTTGGCGTTATATGCAAAACGCCTTGATCCCACTGATGAATTTGAAATCAGGACTTTCAACAACGTGCACACATGTTCGTCATTACAGATATAACCCTAATCATAAGCATGCTAATAAAAAGTGATGGGTACTATATTGCATGAGATATGGGAAAAACTCGTTCCAAGGTTTGGAGGCCTAATGAAATATCAAGGGATTTGAATGCTTTGCTGGAAATCAATGTAGATTACAAACAAGTTTGGCGTGCAAAACAATATGCTATGGAACTGTTGTTGGGATCCTCTGAAGAATGTTTTTCCAAACTTCCTATTTATTTTCACAATTTGAAGAGGCATAATCCCGGTACAGTGGCCCTATCAAACAGATTCTGAAGATTGTTTCGAGTGTTGTTTTTATGCCATTGGGAGCACGGTAAATACAAAAAAACTTGTTTTTATTTATATATAATTTTTTTTTAAACAAACTATAGAGTGTTTATGTGTTCCATTTTAATATATTGCAGATACGAGCGTTCAAACGTTTTTGTCGTAAAGTTATAATTATGGATGGTGCCCATTTGAAGGGTGATTTTAAGGGAACCATATTGCATGCAGTAGCTATGGATGGGAACAACCAGATATTGCCCCTTGCGCACGGAATATGCAAAAAAGAGAGTGGTCTTACTTGGACATGGTTTCTTGAAAAGTTGTATGAATGTGTTGGTGATGTCAAGAATTGACTTTTGTCACTGATAGGGCCGATGCAATTCGGGTTAGTATTGAAAATGTTTTCCCACATGCTCATCAGCTTGTGCTTTTCATCTACTAGGAAACATAGTACACAGGTTTGGGAAAATGATAAATAAAACAAAAGTGTTGTTTTGGAGGCTTGTGAAAGCTTACAAAAGAAATGTTTTGAAGAATTGTGGTATAGATTTAGTTCTACTAGGCCGCAAGTAGCAGCGTATCTAAGTGAAATTCCCCGTGCTAAGTGGACTAGAGCATATTCGCTGTCGAAACGGTACGATTACATGACCTCGAACAGTGCAGAGTCCATGAATGCTTTATCTGTAGATGCAAGGAAGATGCCTATAATACCCCTTCTTGAGTTCTTCCGTCGTCTTTCACAGGAATGGTGTAACAAGCGTCGCATCGAAGGAGGTATGATTAATTTGGACTTTATTAGGTCGAATAATAAGTTAATTATATATATCTTCTTTACAGGGAAACGTTCAACCGTGCTAACCGAGTGGGCTGAAAAAGTAGTTAGTAAAAATGAAGAGCGTACGACAGGATGGTCCGTTTCTGGTGTTTCAGATGCAATATATCAAGTTCATGATTTCAAACATGGTGGCATAGTTGATCTGAGGCAAGAGACTTGTACATGCAAATATGGGAAGGAACTGGGTTGCCTTGTGGTCATGTCATAATGGTCTTGAAGCACTTGAAAAAACTAACTTCGGACATCTGGCTATAGATGCTTACAAAATGGAAACGTACCGAAGTACGTATGAGGAGCGGTTTACCCCCTTCCAGAACCGTGTGATTGGGAGATTCCTGCTGAGATGATGGTGTTAAACCCCCGATAATGGATACACGTCAAGCTGGTAGACCGAGAAACAGAAATCGTTACCGTCACAAGGTGAGGAACCTATAGTAAGAAGGTGTAGTAGATGTGATAGTACAAACACATAATGCAGCGACTTGTCCGGCATTGGTCCCAAAGAAGAAACAAAAAAGGCTACAAAAAGTAGTGCAGCATCAGGTAGTAACACAAAAGGGAAAGGGAAAGGGACAGAAGGGACTCAGGAGACGCTAGAGAGACGCACGGGACACAAGAGACGCGTTGGACGAGTGGGACGCAGAGAGAGAAGACTATTGTTCAACGTTTGATTTGAATGATTGATGTTGTATTTATAATTAATTATGTTTTGTTTTAGAAGACATTAATTTGTGTACTTGAAATGGTTTGTTTATTTTAAAGATGATGGGTAATATTATGATTATATTAGTGCATAATTACTAGTACAATAATAACTAATACTCGAAGATAATACATTCAACAAACCAGAAACATATAGTAAACGTACAACAATAGTAATAACTTAAGGGAATTGCAAAGGATACTTTTCTTTCTCCATTGTTATGTAGTCGTCCCTAATTCTTATTTTATCTTCCATACGGTCCTTTTGGATACCAAGTTCTATCATTCTGCATCCTTGTCAGCAAGCCATTTTTCAGACAGTTTGATATTCTTCTTAGTTTTTTTTTATCCATTCCTCATGATCTTTGATTTTTTTTAGTAATCGTCATCCTTTCCTCAACCTCTTTGCACTCCGCCGCAATGAGGTCACGACGTTCAGTGAGAGCTCGAGATGAGTCTTTATCTTTTTTTTGTTGTTCTTCAGCCCATTGTAGTTGTTGCAAAGTATCCTCCGACATATACGGCTCTCTTAAATTTGGTGATGGGGCAAGAAAAGGGTCGATCGGATCACAATAGAAACAATCAACTTCGTTGCACGAGCAAATATACAAAGTTGAAGATGAACTCATTTTAAATTTAAAAAAATTTATAACTCTATACCAAAATCCAACGACCATCCATGACTATATATAGTCCCTTCCACTCCGCAGAGAGCTGTTGTCAGTCAGCCCAATAATGTTTGTCAGTCCGCAGAGCTGTTTGTCTAGTCGTTGTCATCCATACATTAGAATTATGGGAATACAATTATTTCTTTAAAGGTAAACATTTTTTATTAAAGTAAAGAACGCCAATAGACCATTACAACTACGGTTAACATAGAACTGAATACAAATTAATATTCGTTTGTGATCCATACAATACAGTTCAATGAATTGTCGTGGAGGTAAGACCACAACACTTTCAACTGGTATTTCCCAATTCCTAAGGATTGGAATAGGATTGACCGTCTCAGTTTGATAAGCATTTCGATACACCGCTGTACTTAACTTTAAATTTACCATTTGCTGGATTTCTGCAATTTCGAGTCTTTGTAGTGAAGCTATAGCATGCTCAAGGTATACCGCATTTTTGCCATTTACCACAACTACAAATACCACGGTCTAATTGGACAGTTTCGGTTGTTTGAATATTTAGTCACTCATATCTGTCGCCAACAATATGCGTAATCCTACAAACCATCCGAGTGGATAAATCTTTTATGAATCACCTTAAGTGCATAAGGGGTTAGAAGACCATGAAAATCCCTGTGAAATGAACTGAATCAAAAAACAAAATTATGATGTCATAATGTATAATAACATATCAATTCACCATTTGAGTGATGTCATAACTTATAATTACCTCCAAACGCAGCACGTTGAAGATACACTGCTTGCATCGAGTCATGGACCATTTCAATGATTGTTGTTATTGGAAACTCATGTGTTTGTTTTAAACCAATTGACAACAACGGGAATGTCAATGAATTTAACATTGAAACGTACTCTTGGAAAACAAGCCCGTACCCATTTTGCAATGGAATATTGTCAAGCCAATGAAGATCATTCCCATTAACCTCATTTTTTAAGCTGTTCAAAAATGCAAAAAAATGAGATAAATTATACGCTTTACAAGTCTTCCAGAACAACTGCTCTACGACTGTATTGCTTCCGATGGAAGCGCGTATTTCTCGGCTATATTTTTACAACAATAGCCATGATATGAATCAGGGTAGACTTTTGAACTGCAAAGTCTATAGAATCAGACATATGGCTTATGAAACCAACTTCTGTATTGTCACCTAAACATTCTTTAAGCCTCCTCATGAACCATAACCATGAATTGTCACAGTTTATGGTTCCCAAAGCAAACGCTATGAGAAAGGGTTCATGATTTCCATCTAAAGCAACCGCAATGTACATGGATCTTACATACGCCCCAATTAGAGGTACTTGACCAACGAATATGATTGGTATCATAGACGTGAGAAACGTATGAATCTGTAAGTCAACATAAGAATATTAGGCATGTAACAACTTGAAATAACTAATATTTATTTACTTAAGGGATTACATACCACGCATCCCAATGCCACGAAACAAATTTGGAAACGATTGTACTGATCTTTCGTAATGTACGTGTAGGTGTTAGGATTGGTTCTTTGCAGATTATGGAAAAAAGTCGGTAGGCTGGAGAAAACTTTTTCTTAATACCTGATTGACTGAACTCATTTTCACAACTTTGGACACCTTGTAAAAATGGAAATGCTTGTCCAATTTATAAGGAATTAGTATACATTATTCTGCAGAACTTACTTGTCAGTCCGCGTAAATGACTTGTCAGTACGCGTAACTTATTTGTCAGTCCGCGTAACCTGTTTGAATGTATGGTTTTTAAACATGAGAATATTTTTTCATAAAAAAAAGGATAAAATACCATATTACATATAAATAAAGCAATACAAGAACAATACAAACACAAAACGCAGTAGTACTAGTTAAAAAAACGGGACATTTTTTAAAAGATTCCAAGGGGCTTCATACTCGAAACTCTGTCCGTTGCTAATGGATTTGTATTCTTCTTTAGCCGCCTCCAAGATGTCTTCCTCAGTATCATTCACACGATCGTCTTCAATCTTATTATAAAGATCGTTGAATAACACAACTTCTGTTTTCAATTCATACATTTTGCAGCTATATTAAGCGTGTTGCGATGGTTTTCTATGGTGGTTTCAGCGTCAGTGTTGAAGGTATTCGTTAATAGGACCCAAAACATTCTATCCTCCAAACTGCTATTCTCGTAGACATTAATATATGCACGAGTTAGAAGCAAATACTCGTTAGCGGTCCATGGGTTGAAACCATTGTAAAACATCAAACTACATGAACTAAAATAGATTAGATGAAGTGATACATAATTTTTTGTCGTTTTATAGACATGACAGTCCGCAAATATCCAACGATCATCCATGACAACTATAGACCCTTCAACTCCGCAGAGAGCTGTTCGTCGGTCCGCGTTACTGACTTGTCAGTCCGCATAGCTATTTGTCGGTCCGCGTTACTGACTTGTCAGTCCGCATAGCTATTTGTCAGTCCGCGTTACTGACTTGTCAGTCACGTTACCTATCTTTTTATATATAGTAAGCAAGTATCTATACGTCCGAATTAGAGGTAAGGGATCATTTCACAAAATGGCATCCAATGTACCAACGTCTTCAAATGCAGCTAATCTGTCTAATGTGTCTGCTCCAACGAATGGTACATCTCCATGGACGACAACAGAGGTGTTGGTCCTAACACGATGCTGGATTACCGTTTACGAGCGTCTACCGGTAATAGCTCCCCTTAATTGCATTGTTGGTGATGAATGGTCCCGCTTAGTAGCTTTGTTCAACTATAACGTGGGACAAGGACAAAACGACTAAAACCCGATATTGTTAGTAAATGGATGGATTTAAAGACTAAAGTCACATGGTACAATCGATGCTACAATTATGAGAAAATGTGATGCTCTGATGCTGATGATGAAGAACTTCTTGAATACGTGAACGGATATTACCTGTGCCAGTTTGATGAAACTGAGTTCGAGTATACGGACGTTTGGAATCTGGTTAGAAATAAACCCTTTTTCATGTAGACGACTTTTTATTCGTAATGTTCTATGTAATGTTTGTTAGTCGTTCATCTTTTATTTGCAATGTTTTCTGTAATGTTATTATGTTATTTCAAATGTTTATTTTGTTTTTATGTATCGTAATATATGTTGGTGAATTATGTTTCAAAAAATATATGATACAAAGTTGTTTATATTAAACAAAACTACTAAAAACAAGTATTTCATAAAATGTATACAAACTTCCAAACATCAAGTTATTTAGTATCCCAAATAATATTTGTCATCCTATTTCTGTAGAGAAATCCGCATCTCTACATGGCTTATCACTCTTCACCGGTACCCCCGAAGCAATCATTTCCATATACATGCTTACGAATACTCCACAATCCCCTCTATTAGTAATATATTCTTTTGTGGCGCGTCTACAATATCAATAAACTCCACAACTGCGTTGTCTTTGTGTCCATCGGGGAAATCCTTCCAGTAGTCAATCGCATCTAGCTCTTCGATTATACTATCCCCAAAACTTTTGAATTCTCCACCAGTCAAGTACGTTGTGAAGTAATTCATACATCGTGCTGAATCATAAATGTGTACTTTCCAAATATCTAAATGTAGCACTGCCAAAACCAATGGGCATGAGGAACGTTTATGGGGAATAGAACCTGCAAACAAAAACAAATGTAATAGTCATTAATTCGTTTCCTATATAAAATAAATAATTAATAAACTTAACTAACCATATCCACATCCTTCCATTTAGGATGGCTCCGACACCATTTGCAATATTCCTAAGAAAATATGTTTTTCCGTTTTGCAAATTAAGTTCTTGAGGGAATATCGTCCACCTTGCGTTCGCCGGCCGTCTTTCCATGAGCAAGGCACTCCATATCGCATATATGCTGTACATTTTAAGATAAAATGTTACAGTTTTTTATATAAATTATCGTCTAAAAATGTAGTTAAAATTTATATTTAACGAATGTTACCGAAGAAATTAACCACCCAGCGTCAGTCTACTGCAAGTAACCTCGACCAAAACTCCACATCCAGTGGAGCATATGCAGCCTATGTTTAGTGTTCAGGTTGGAAGAGATACTATTCCCATTCTTTCCAAAAAGTCAACGTACTGCCAGCTTCAACACTGTCGAGCAGGAGATGATTTGAAACATCATTACTCTCTTCATTCACAATGTCTTCATTTGCTTTTCAGGACCTTCACCACTTTTTTTTTTCTTTGCTTTGGTGATTTTCTTCAATTTTGTGTGGATTGCATCTAAAAAATTACATGTTAAATAATTATCAATACGTTAATATTTAAAAAATCTACCAAATTTAAAATATGAGTTTTGTACCACTGTGAACGGAGTCCGCTGATACCATGGAACACCCCTCTTTCGTTGCGGCCTAACAATAGGAGTCATTTTTTTTGTTGATGTTCACCCACGTCCAATGACGGCTCAACATGCGTAGGTGTAGACTCAAATTCCCCCTCCAAACCATGACTACCTATACTATCATAGTCAAAATGTGTATCATGGTAATATTTTTCTTCCTCCTTCATTTATCATCTCTTCCTCCTCTCGAAACCTTCTGTCTGGTTCAAAATTTGTGTCGGGTGTTCATCTTTTTTGTGTAATACATGGTCTACTTTAGAACTTAAGTCAGCCACAACGCCTAGTAGACGCTTCACTAATGCCTTTGTGCTCGTCTTCTTCTTCTTTACCAATCTTGATGTGTCGTGTGACATATAACTTGTTTCTGTTTCAAGATGTTGCGAGGAAGAAGCATTTGTGGCAGATTCAGTCGAAGATGTTTGTATTTCGGACTTGTACATCCTTCTTCGAGCAGGCGAGGCAACAGGAGGTGGACTATTTCGGACGAGACTATGTTGCCGTGGGGGAGACTCTACAGGGTTAAGAGTCCAATTGACATAACGAACATAAAACGACAACATCAGCTCCTCCGGGTTGCCTCGACATTAATAGGTTGGTTGTTAGGCTGCAAAAATCAGATTGTTAGTTTAACATGAAAATAATTGGAATTTGTAAATATCGATGATTGTTAATATAAAAAACCATACCACAGACACGTTCATTATTCGACAACATTGAACCCAATTCAACGGTGTTTTACTTCTCCACGCCCTCATCCGTGGCAATTCTGTCGGCGTGCGTATATAAAAATTGGTTGCCTCTGGGAATGTCTCCAAAATCCATATCTATGAAAAAATGTAAGTATCGTTCTATTATACTATAAAAGTCATGATACAAACTTATTATATAATACAAAACGAAGTTCAAATTTTTATAGTATAAAAAACTAAACAATGATAACTATTAAAATGCATTAGAAACTAACCTTTAAACGGAAGCATAAACCGGGAACGGTATACTTGTGTACTTTCTTCGATTCGGGATTGGCCTGCTTGAATTCTCTAAACTCTTCTATTTTCTTAAAGATTCCATGCATCATACACGAAGTATATTTCCATAAATACGTACCCCATGCAAACCTGCAATTTTCAATTTATTTATTATAATTAGTGCATTGCATACTACTGCGGGAATGCTTGTTTTAAATGTAATACCTGTTCCAATCATCTATATTATCAGCAAGCTTGTATACTGCTGCAGGAATGCCCGTTTTAACGTCCCGTCCGTGTAGACCCTTCAACATAAAAACAAGCTGGATAAGCATCACAACATCTTCATCTTGTAGTGCCAAATAATTCGGGGACATAATTAACTCCTCTTATAAATCTTTCAGCCGCAAACGTGCATCAGAAATATCTGGGAACAACCGAGCACGAAGATTTGAATTTAACTGGCCCTTTTCGTCATGGAGTAAATCCACATAAGGACCAACTTTTAAACCACAAATCAGAATATATTCAGTTTCACCAAAACCCAACTGGATCCCCTCTACATCAAACAGAAACCTCCCCATTTCAAATATTTGTTGACACCTTACTGCGTGCAACATCATCTTATGCACAAGTAAGGGATCACCGTGTGGGATATGTATTCCTAAGAATATTCCAAAGGGGGAAGCTTTAAATAATACTCGTTGTGATTGTGTTAGACGCGGAAAATAGTCTTTAATGATAGTCCCCACCACGCCTTTTAAAGTTAAATTCGCTTTTTGATTAAGATCTTCGTGCTACACAACAAAAAAAATAAAAATTATTATTTCATTTAAAAAATTACTAATTGAAAATAAAAAAAAAATATTATTCCATTGTGAAATAAATAGCAACATACTTAAAAGCAGAAAAATAATAATTGTGCAAACATCATCACTCCGCGGAGGCTAGAGGTCATTCCGCGGAGGACTCTCTGCGGAGTGACATCTGGCTTACGCGGAGGCTGCAGTGTTGGATTATAGCATTCCGCGGAGGAAACACATCACTCCGCGGAGAAGCCTCTGCGGACTGACGTCTCCCTCCGCAGAATGGATCATCCGCAAAAACGTATCTGTGATTGTAAACCTAAAAATCCTAAATGTGTATACATATTCAATGTAATCAAATGGGTTTTCCTCTAATTTGAATCATATTCGACATTAACAATTAGATGAGAATGTGAGACATACCCGTGAACCGTATCCATCGGCCATAACATCGGGGTCCATCGGTGACGGAAAGAGCTCTGCGACTTGATTTCGTCGGAGTTGAAGTCGTCGCCGGATTTGAAGTCTTTGATCAAAGCCTGGAGGAGCCGATGCGGAGGGTGGACGAGGAACGGGGACCAGTGGGGACCAAAAGAGGACCCCTTCGTTTTTCTCAAAAAAATATGGTGGAAATTACCAATTTACCCCCACTTCGCGGAGATTTCATGGTTCCGCGGAGGTCCGCGGAGGGTCCTCCGCGGAATGTGTGTCTATATCTGGAAAAAACGTTTTTTATGACTAAATTTATAAATTTACCCCCATTTTTTGTCTATTTGAGGTATTTTCCCTTGTTGTTATCCATCTCCCACATGATTCATCTTTGTCAGGTTTTGTCTTTCTATCATGTCTTTCTTTCTGACTTCTGTGTCTATAGTTTACACTATTCATCTTTAAAAAAAAAAAAAAATCTTTTTTCACGAAGATTTTATTCTTTTTATCCACGTATGACAACATCTGAATGGTTTTGAGGTTCTATTCATAGGAGTTTGGCAATTGGCACTCCTATTTAGGTTGTAAATTTGTAATGAACTTAAGCCAACTTAAAAAACAAGTTTTCCTCTTCTTTTCTATCTTGGTGGTGTTTGTTTGAGCTAAATTCGAGAAAAAATCAAAAATTTGAGCTAAATTAAGGATATTACAAGTCGACCATTTTTTCTCTGTTTTCCTATCGGCAATTGGACTTGAATTAACATTTTATTTTGTTAGTTTTATGGATAATGGCGTATCAGGGTATTTGCTATAATAGTTTTATGGATATTACTCATGTGTTTTTCGTTTTTGACGATGTAAAGTGTAGTCTTTTTCCACATGCAGAAGAAGATGTTGACCAGATGTTCGTAGTCTAAAAAAAAAATTGTTTTTTTTTTAACTATAGGCTACATAAAAAAGTTGCCTATTTTTTACTTAAAAAAACTGTTTCATTGATTATAGTTTTACAATATTGAAACTAAATTAATTACAAATCAAGAAGCCAAACATTTATAGATTATTTCTATAAATCACAAACTCAAGAGAAAATGCTTGTTGCTGTTACATTTCCCTTCTCAACTAAACAATTACACAATAATTAATCTAGGAAATATTTCATAATTCCTAACAATATATACTCCAAAACCTCATTAACTACCTTTCATGCCCCTCCACTATACAGAAATATCCTAACCTTCTAGTTCTAGGATTTCATTTTTGATTGAAAGAAATTCTGTTTCACGATGGAAAGATATCAAGAATGTGTGATTTCATTTCCATGAAATTGCACGATATATATAACCAAATCTTCAAATTTCACAAAAAACAGAGAATTACGTCCATGTCATTTGTAAAACATTAAGGGTGCGTTTGGTTGTGGAAAATTTTCCAGTTTTAGGAAAATTTTCCAAGAAAAACGGAAATTTTGAAAACGCGCTTAGTTCGTTCAGTTTTTCCAAAATTTTCCAAAAAAATGAAAATTTTCAGTTTTCCAAATTGTATGTAAATTAGAAAAGTGATTTTTACAGTTTTCCAAAGTTTTCCAAATTTCTAAGATAGAAAATGAAAACTCCGGTTTCAACCAAACGCGTTTTCTAAAATTTTCATTGAAAATTGAAAGCGAAAACTCAACTCTATTTTCTGAAAACATTTTCTTAGAAAATGAAAACAATTTTCCACGACCAAACGCACCCTAAGTTACCCTAAATTACCAAAAAACAAGAAATTGTCATGATTTGTTGATGTGGTTAGAAAAACGATTTCAAAAACTTAAAGGCTTTCTGTCTTTTCAAATAGATTTAACGAATGTTTTTAAGTAGACATATGTCACGTGCCTTGAAACATAAAATGGAAAAGATCAGTCATTATCTATCTTTTGTTCTTTCCTTCTAGATCTCCTTCGACTTCTCCTCCTAAATCCATTGTTGCTTTCATCTTTTACCCAATCCTCATGGAACATTTCATCATAAGGAACAACATGTCCATCAATAAATGGTTCTCCTGTGGAGCAGAAAACTGATTTTTAACATTGTATCACATCTCAAATAGTTCTTAATATAAGTGCATTCAGATGATGCTGTGTTATTAAAGATAAAATGTTTACAAATGCTGGTTGCATATTGTATGAAACATTTTCAAAGTAGATATCATATTGGAGAAATTCAACCCCACAACGAGTTTGACATCTCTGAGAAACAATACAATCCATAGAATGAAGCAAACAAAATTTGAAATGACTTGTATTCAAGCAATTGTGACTACCTTTACCTTCTCCAAAGATTGAGAAATACATCAACTGTATATAGTTGAAGAATCAAAGTGACAAATAACTGATGCTTGTTTGCAATGCCTAAGAATGTAACAGCCATAAATCTTAATGAAACTTGAGGCAGAACAATCTACATACCTCCATAATCATCTTTGCCATGACAGATATGAGAATCAGGCAAAACCCATCTGACATTGGGCATAGCTGCGAAGAACAGTAAGCTTCAGCGATAAAGCATATAAATATCAGAAACAATAAACGGTATCAGAATTTAGTAAAAAGAAGACGATTCAGAATGTTACATTTGATACTACTAATCACATTGTCGTCGATTTTGCAACCAAATGCATAGTAATACTTTGTAGAAACCGAGTATATTGACCTCTTCGCTTCTTCCTCACTGTAAAACCATTCAATTTATCAAACAAAAGCAAGTCGGGTCAATTTAGCATCGTCTTACAAATTCTGTCCGCCTAAACTACAGTTTTTCTTTTTATTAGAGATGTAATCAGTTATCACATACCTACCCAATGCGGAAGCTAGGGTTTGTATATAACGTTCGACAATTTGATGTCGGGACGGGTAGCTTATCGGAGGATCCATAACCACAAGCCAGTGCTTGTAATCACAGCCATCGATCGGTGCTACAGCACGATCCAACTCCAGGCCCCGAATTTGAGGAGGCGCGCCGGAGGTTGATGAACGGCGACTGGTTAGAGGAGTGGGGATGATCGGCGCAGCGGACGTGAAACGGTCAAAGTACTGAGTAATGGATACACAAGAGCTCCGTCTCATCGTGAACGTGAATACACCAGAGCTGGAGTACCGGTCTGCTGACGTCCGAAACGGAAACATAGGGACCACTTTTCTCTAACGGTCCAGCAAACCCAATTACAATGGATACACAAAAAATTATGTCGGTCCAGCAAACCCAATTTCAATGGATCCACAAAAAAATTATGTTTTATAAAGTTGTCATGATCAGCTCTAATTTCAATATTATCCTTCGGAGAATATTTAGATACATGATACTTAAAACTTCGGATGATTTTCAGTTTCGTGACTATAAGCCAAAAGGCAAAGAATTGGATGTAAAAGCAAGAGGTGGCTTTGCCTAAGGCGTATAAGATAAGCTACGCAGAAGTCAACAAAGGTAAGATGCATTTTGGGAGCGAGTTCTAGAACGTTTTAATGTTCAAACTGGGAGGTTCGGATCGGACACGACACCAAGTGAACTCAAAATGAAAGACTTTTAAAAGAAATGTAACGATTTCAACTGCATCTACAACCGTAAGTTGAACAGTCTCGCTAGCGGGAGATTTGTGGTCGATATTTTAAAAGATGTACAAAACGAGTGTTGGAGGTTTAGTAATCAGAAAGTTTTTCCCCATGAATAAAGCTTGGGATGTTTTGAAACACCATTTGAAATGGTTGCACATAAAAGTCGATGAAGACTCCCGCCTCCTTCTTCAAAACAAACCAAAACATCTTTATTCAATGCATACATAACATTTTCCGATGCATACTTTCCACATGGATTCGACCAACAACAACATTCGTTTCATGTTGAAAACTTACCGTCATGGAGAAAACGAAAAGGAAAGAAAGTGGCATGAGCATCGTCAACAACGAATGAAATAGTTGATCTCGACAATGAAATTGTCTGAATCAACATTGTAAATAGAACAAAGGCAGAAGATAGAAAACGGTAACGAGATGAAAAATTACGTCTTTTTAGAGAAAATGAAGCACGGAAAACGATACTGTGGAGCAGGAGATAGAGACCCAAGATATGTTGTATAACTTGTATTTTCTCAACCAGTAGCAAAATATGGTTAGGAATTTTAGAACGTTATTAATGGCGTATGTGGAAAATCAGCCGGTCGTCACTCTTCTTTTTGAGAAGGGTCCGGAAAAAAGGTCGGATGTTAAAGACCGTAGACAGATCCAAAGCCTGATTGGTAAGTTCCTCCGGCAGACTCGAAGCTAGGAGTCGACACGAAAAGACCCGCCCATTTCTGACAATAGGTCTATTCATTGTACTTCTTTCCTTTGGACCGGTGGGTGAAAATGGAGTATGGGTCTATAAAATAATAAAAGGATAGTAATAGTGTAACGACGTAAATTTTCAAAACAATTTTTCATTTTTAAATCATCAAAACAATATCATAACAAACTGTATCCAGTGTCATCATAACAACAATCCCCAGTATCTCAAAACATAATCTCTATGAGTGTGTACAGATCATGCCGGCGCCTTCCCGCGATCCTCGCTAGTACCTGAAACACATAACACAACAACTGTAAGCATAAATGCTTAGTGAGTTCCCCAAGATACCACATACAACACATACGCCTTTCCAGGCCATAACTCTGTGGGATCTTCCGATCCAAGTGTCTCAGGGGACTTCCGTCCCGAATCCCGGTAGACCTTCCGGTCCTACCCGTATCGACCTTCCGGTCCGTAACCTCCTGACCTTCCGGTCCATGTCATCTTGACCTTCCGGTCCATATCATCTTGACCTTCCGGTCTTTACCATACATAACATACATAGCACATACATATCACATAACCGCATATAGCACATACATCTCATAGCATACAAGACCTTTCGGTCACACATAGGTACCCTTCCAGGTACAGTATAGTGAGAAGACTCACCTCAATGAAGTCGGATAAGCTCTCGTGCTCAACGTCCCGACCTAGCCTCCTCCAATCATTCAA